CGCATTTTGGCGCTCATTCATTGTAGAAAGTGGCGCTGTCTTGAAAACGGGCTGTGAACGTGCGGCCGTAGAAGAAGCTGCGGTCCTGTCGGTGCGGGTTCAGCCTCCCGCACATCTGCTGGTGGCTCTGAACTTATTGTGAAACGCCAGCAATGTTCGCGACACTTTGACAAACTTTACGGCTTCAGGACTTCGAACCGGCGTTGCTGCCCGGTCCAGTCCTCCGACACACCGGGACCACACCTCACTCCGAGCCGACTGTCAGAGCCTTTTCACGTCAATCTTCTTCTTCGGGAGTTTTCTTTTTTCCTGCTCCGCGGAGGACCACGGGATACAGGAGCTAACGGCGGGTGAGTCCAGCTTCAGAGCAGCAGGTCGGATTAAAGTACTTTAAACAGTCGGAACCACCAAGTTTTCAGTTCGACTGAACGGCGAGACGGTTCACCCACAGAACCGTGGTTTTTAAAGGTAAAAGGGCCACTTTAGACACTGTTGTTATCCAGTTTGTAAGCTAGCTAAATGACGCTGAGGCTAGCCTCATCGGGAAGTTAAAGAGAGCTTCACTTACAGCAGCTCTGCGTTAGTTTCCTACATTTCAGTGATGAAAAATGGTGAAAACACTGTAGATAAATACCTAATTGTGTCTCAAAACAGGCGGTCTAATGTGTAGAACTTTATTTCTGTTTGTGAAAAGACACATGTAGAGATTTTACTGCTGTTCTTCACATCTGGACCACACCAGATCAGGACCAGATCTACAACTACGGTGTATAGACGCTCAGATCTGGACTAAGAGGGGCCAAAGACTCTGTAAGACACAGTTTCTGATGAAAGACACCTTTATTCTGGTTGAGAAAAACGGTTAAGTTAATGCTTTTACGTTTTTTTTTTTCTCCAAATGGATCTAAAGCCACTGTACTAAAATGGGAGCTTAAAAGTAGTGAAATTATGCTAAAAGTAGTTTTTCTGCTGCAGATGTTCAGCACCATGGATTTATTCAGCAAACAGAAGGACATATTCAGAGTGTTGTTCAGGATGAAGACCTCTAAATCAAATCACATTTTGTTTCTATAGCACTTTTCATACAGTACAGCAACACAAAGTGCTTTACAGCATTTTAAAAACAACATAGCATTTAAAAACATTACAACATTTAAGAATATTATAAAAGAAAACCCGTCCCTCCCACCCTCCATGCTTACACATAGTCATATGGCACATGCAGTCACACACACACACACACACACACACACACACACTCACCACTATACAAAAGGAAGCATGACATGGCACTGAGGGATTGTGGGAAACGCTACCATTGGGGCCGTCCACACCAGGAGGAGTCGCAGACCATGACCACTGGGGGCACCGGCACCCGGACCCCCTCCCAACCCGGCAGACAGGGGGATCCCCACAACGAGGTGGGGAGCCCCCCAACCAGCCGGGCTGAGGGGACCCGCAGACAGAACCCCCAACAGCAGACCGCACACAACCCCCAGTGTGGAGGACCCCCCTAAGAAAACACTGGAGTTAAAAACTAAAACTTTAAAGAATAAAAGTCCCTATGTAAGATAAGATGAAAAGTAAAAGAGTAAAATACATAAGATAAAGAGAAGAATGTAAAAAGAATTAAAAGTTTGATTAAAAGCCTGATCAAAAAGGTGTGTCTTTAACCTTCTTTTAAAAGTATCGACAGTCTCTGCAGTCCTGAGGCTCTCCGGCAGGCTGTTCCACAGGCTGGGCCTGTAGTGGCTAAATGCTGCCTCACTGTGGGTTCTGGTTCTCACTACTGGAATGGATAAAAGGCTGCTGCCAGAGGACCTCAGGATCCGCGAGGGTCGATATCGTAAAAGCAGTTCAGATAAATAACTGGGCGCAAGGCCGTTGAGACATTTAAAAACTAGTAAGAGAACCTTAAAATCGACCGTGAAGCGGACGGGGAGCCAATGCAGCGACTTTAAAACAGGTGTAGTGTGGGCCCGCCCTCTGGTCCTCGTCAGCACGCCAGCGGCTAAGTTTTGTAATAATTGGAGATTTAAAATACTCTTTTTGGGAAGACCAGAGAGCAGGGCATTACAATAATCTAAACGACAGGAAATACAAGCATGCATTAGCACCTCCGTGCTGGCCTGAGAGAGAAACAAGTGAACTCTGGCTATGTTCTTAAGATGATAAATGCCCATCTTTACTATATTTTTAATATGTGGGATAAAATTCAGCTCAGGGTCAAAAATCACGCCCAGGTTTTTTACAGATTGTACTGGTTTAAAATCTTGTAGATTTGATGAACGTTTCTCTCTCTGGCCTTCGGGACCTATACCTAAAACTTCTGTTTTGTCCTGGTTGAGCTGTAGGAAGTTTGCTGCCATCCATGACTTGATGTCTAATACAGTTATAAAGGGTATCTATTGGCCCTGTGTCATCAGGAGACACGGCGACATACAGCTGTGTCTTTAGTGTATGTGGATTTCCTTGTTGCAGGAACGTCACTGTACACAAATCTTAAGATATTTTCTTCATATTAAACAGCTGGTGTTTCACACGATGACATCATGTGTTTTCTCAGGAAATTGCTTTGTTGCTCAACATGGAGGCAACAGGACAACCAGGACAACCAGGACAACCAGGACAACCAGGAGAACCAGGAGAACGTCGGACACAGCAGGTAACTCAAACACTGGCCGACATACATCCAGAGAACCTCCACTGAACTTCCTCTTCTTGTTTGTTTGTTCAGTCTTTATTGCACATCGTGTCCTGATGACTTCAGGTTGTATTTGAAGTATTGAAGCCTCTGTTGCTGTGCTTAGACCTCACTGTTCATGCTCCTTTGACTACAATATAAACTCCTGCTCCTGTGTGGAAATAGCACATTTCAAGAAGACTTAATAAATCTATGGAAGAACCAAAATGTACGATTGTTTTTTGTGGCAAAGATTTGTGTGTTTCATTGATTGCACCACAGAAAATTCTAAGTTGTAGAAATCATTGAAAACTCAACACTGCTGTGATATACATGGTGTTTACCAGTGGATGGAAACTTTTGTTCACAACTGTACGTGTGTATTTCTTCTATATTTTTTTTATTTGCTGTTGTTACTACATGGCTGCTGTTCCCTCTTTGCCGCTGTAACTCAGATTTCCCCACTGTGGGATTAATACAGGATGATCTTTAGAGATGATGCTGATGTGAATCTCACCTGTGACTGTATTACTTCTTTTCCTGCTGCCTCAGTGCAGCAGCTGTGACTCCTGCTCAGCCAGATGTTGGTGTCTGGACTGTAATGAAGCCATGTGTGATGACTGTGTGTCGGCTCATCGCAGAGTCACAATGACCCGAACACATCGGCTGATCAACCAACTGCCGCAAGGTCAGAGAACAGCTGCTGATTGGTTGTTGTCACTGCTTTTGCTCTGCGTAAGACAATGTGTGTTTTGTTGAATTCCTACCAGCTGATAGAAATGTGTTTATGAAGAGAGACTTACAATCCCTGTTTAACTTGAGTTCAGTTCCTCTGGATTTCAGTTATTTCTGCTCAGTAAATTCTAAATTAAAAATGATGGATAAACAGTTTGAATAGTAGAGGTTAGAAGGTAAACGGCTTCTGTCACTTTAAATGTTAGCAACACTCAAACCAAAGCAGTCGAAGCTTTGACAGCTGAGTTATGTAAAAAATATCATATGTTCTTTTTCTGGTGTTTCTGAACATGTGAGCAGACCAGACAGGAGGCCGTGATGGTGACTTGAGCCGATCAGAACCTGGACACCTTCAGTTCGACCCGCTGCCTTCAGGTAGAACCTTTGTATCATCACAGCTTTAACCTCAGAACGAGAAGAAAACTGAACGCTGACAAACACTAACCGACTCAGTGTCCGCCAGCAGTTTACTCAAAAGTTATAAAATACACAAGTATCTGTATTTTTTCCTTACCTTCTTCTTATATTTAGCTTCTGTTTATATACTGAACCTGAAGCATGTGTTGTAGAATGACTAAAAGACATCACATTTCTGTAAGTGTTCGGCAATATCGATCAGTTACATGCCTGTTTATAGTGATCCTAAGACGCCATATAAGTTATCCCTACAATTCAATGAGCTGTCACTGTTTTCAGAGGTTACACTGGTACATACTTAATTTTTGCTGTATGTTATTGTTTTATATGCACATTTATTACTGTACTTTAAAATGAGCTGTTTTGCTCAATGTGTGAGTGAACTGATGGGATCCTTGCTTCATTTCAGTCAATACTGCAATGACAAGAAATTCTGTTCTGTTCTGTGGGGTGGTGTGGGGTTCCGTCGGTCAGAGCAGGTTCTCAGGCACTCAGGTCTTTGTAGAGCTCTGTCCTCTGTGAGCTTCGTGTTGCTGCAGGATGTTGACAGCAGTTTGTGTCTCTAGGAAACACCCTGAGTTCTCCCACGAAGTTCTGCAGACTTCACCCGTCTGAGCCGCTGAAGCTCTTCTGTTTCACCTGCAGCCAGATCACCTGTAGAGACTGTCAGCTGATTGCACACATGAACCACAGGTATGCTCAGGTGCTTCATGTCCTACATCAGGACTCTTTGACAGTAAAGGTGCTCTCAGGTGACCTGAGTCTGTTCTGGTTCTGTTCTGTTAATGTCAGGTACCAGTTTGCCAGTGAAGCAGAGGCCACTCTAAGGAAGCAGCTGGAGGCCTGTGCTCAGCCAATCCAAGTGCAGACAGATGCTGTGAGGCGGAGTCTGAAGGATATGTCAACCAGGTAGAGACTGAGGAGGTTCTTCTGTCCAGGTTCCTGTCAGATGTTCCAGCTGTTCCAGCTACATTCAGTCTGTAAACAACAACCAGTTAGTGACTCTGAAAAATGCTTTCTTTCAACATTTATAATAATAATCTTTATTTATAAGATTAGTTAGAACTTTATTGCTCCTGAAGGAAACTCTTGTGCCAGAACAAATGACAATAGCATTAGAACAAAGGCAGTGAATAATAGAAGCAACGAAATATAAACATGGTACATTTATAAAAATTTTAATAAAGCTTGGTGAGCTTCAATAAGTGTAGAATAGAGAAGTCACAGGTAATGCAGGCAGTGATACTGAAGTAGTGAAGGACTACACATGATATCAACACATCCATAGTTGTGAATTCTGAATATTGTTTTTACACTTGAACCCCCTGTACGATATAATTTTTTCTACATATACTACGATCTTTCCCCACTGTGGGATTAATGAAGTCTTATAATTAAAACATTTCACATGATAATAACACTGATATTGCACAAACAATTGAGAAAATAATTTTGCAAATGTAATGATAATATTGTTCAGCTTTGATTTCTGCAGAAAGTTGAAAAATTTTACAGTTTTAAAGTAGTTCTTTTTGTACCAAGAGGCAGAAAAATTGCAGCCTGATGTGTTTAAGTTAATTAACATCTGAGCGTCGATGCTGAAATGATGCATTATGCAGCGGTAATATTTCAGTCAAACATTTTTTTTGTGATGATTTACAGTATTTGCTGCCTCTTCTATCTCACCCAGATACGGTCACTGATCCTCCCTTATCGCCCCCAATACTCCCAGCGTTTCACTTTCTGGTTTGTTGCCACATACGGGTTGTGCGACCAATTGACTGAAGACCAGTCTGGTCTGGACACGGACCAGGTGCTGGACCGGTCCATGGGGCTGTTACTGGGTGTGTGTGTAGGTGTGTGTGTGTGTGTGTGCGTGCTGATGAGTCCATGAGTGATGATGATCCTGATGTCTTCTATTTTTGCATACAAGTCTTTTTTCTTTTAGAGTTATTCAGAGGTGGACTTGCCTGTGTGCTTTGGGTCATTGTTAAGCTGCGTGAAAAGCTGAAAAGTCTTGGGGCTCGTCAAGATTTTTTTTTTTTCTCCAAATGCCAAGTGAGCCTTTATGTTCTTTTTGGTCAGGAGTGGTTTTTGCCCAGTGTAAAAACAGAAGATATCTGTAGTGGAGAAAATACTTTTTCACAACACTGTATGTGGTAAAAAGCTTGTAAAAGGACTTTAATTTTCAGAGACCTTGTCTGTGTCTACACGTGAGATTTAGCACTGAGAAGAAACATCACCAGTTTTCTACTCAGGGGAAATAAACTGAACTTAAAGTGGCTCACTATTGTCTATTAGATGTTCAGTCGAAAAATAAAACCTTGTGTTGTGTTTCAGGCTTTGGCTGATTAGTCAGTCTAACTCTCGTCTGAAGGATCAGCTACAGAAGTCCTCCTTCACTTTGACTCAGCTGCTGACAACAAGGATGGAGAACATAGGGAAGGAGATTGAGGTGAAATCGGCTTTTGTTATTGAGAACAGACTCTGAACAAAAATTTTCTCAGATTCAAATGTTCAGCATGTTCTTCTCCGGTTCTGACTCTTTAGTAGAAACAAACACACAACATTGTTGTTAATCTGAGAATTCTTTTTACCCTGTTGGTACATTATGACTGTAGGGTAGAAAATAAGATATACTTATTTCCACACCAAAGCAAGTGATTGCATTAATTAAATAGGCATTAAATGCTGCAGCAAGTAGGGGTCCTCGGACCCTAAAAATACTAAAACCAACCTTTGAATCATTCATCCAGCGATATAATCTGAGAGTCAGCATAATAATTCTAATAAATTGTTTACTCTTGGTGATCAGTCAAGAGTGTTTTATAAAGTTAAGGGAATTAACTTAGAGCTTAGGTAACTAAAGATCGGATACGTAAAGTGACTAAAAGTAAGCTATAGAAAACACAGCAAACAACTGTGTACACACACAACATTTATTACTAACTAGAACAAACAAACAAACAAATAACAACAACAAACATAAAATATAAAATACAACAGATGGAAGGAACTCATATGCGTCATGAAGAATCTCATCCTCCTCTGAATCTTCTGCTTGGACACCCTGACGAACGTGTTCCTCTGCCTCAACATCCTCCTCTGTCTGTTCGAGCAGAAGGTTCATCAGCTGGAGTGCGAGCGCATCAAGTGGAGGATGGTGACGCTGAGGCAGCTGCAGCGGAGTCACACGTATTTGACTGAAACTGCAGAAAAGGCCCGAAACACCAACGACCTGTCGGCACTGCTCACCTACACAACACAGGTAAGACCCTCACCTGCTCAGAACACACTCAACATCTCTTCTCATCAACTTCTCTTCCTGCTCTCAACGAAGGCAGATGCTTTTTCTCTGGCTCCGTACCTTGCCCTTATCTGCCCTGCTTGCTGCTCTTTGTCTTGTGCTGTCTCTGTCTGAATCTATCAGAGCCTCTCCCTGCATTTCTCTCCAAAACCTGAAATCATGGATTTGATCAGCTGGTCTCTCAACGCAATTGATCAAATTTTCTCAATGAGAAACTGGGCAAAGGAGAGCCCGCCTGCCCTGATGGAATGTTTGCAGCGGGATACACGACAGACTCCTGGAAGGAGTGGAGGCTCGTGTGTCTCTCCATACTTTCCGTGGAGGATGTTCTACATAATTGGGATTATGATAACAGGCTTCCTGCTGTTTGGAGTTTGCTGGATTCCTGTTTTATCGCAAAGTGAAGCAAAGTTTCGGGTTGCCGACACTCAGACTGAAGCGATATGCGAACTCAGTCGCAAACATTCGCAAGATGGGTACCAACTTGGAGCAATTGAACAGACTGATCTGGAATGGGCCATCAATTTAGGCTTTTTGGATCACAGAGAGAACCAGTGGGACTTAAAGACTGATGGTAAATTGCAGAGTCGGCCTGAGCCAAAAACAATCTTCTTTAGCTTCATTCGGCTCCCCCACTTCGGCCTTGGAAGGCTGATGTCTCTCCACTTCTCCTGGGTGTTATGCAGACAAATGCTCGGCACCTCCCCTCTCCTGTGAACTTTATCTGTGGATCAGAACTCTTCAAGGTCGTCTCCATGGCAATGGCCTTGTCTCGTCACCAGCATCAGATGGCAGAGACAATGTTGCGTCTGAGTGACGATGAAGTCCATGGACTTACACATACACAAAGACACACAACACACACCCCCTGGACTCAACGCCTGGTTGGCTCCCCACCCCCTCTCCCTCCCTCATCACAGGGCAGTATGCTGCAGGCTGATGCGACGTGCCCACGTGGCTGCATGCTCCCCCCAGTGTCTGAGCTGTGACACCTCCCCTCCCCAACACCCTCCCCCCTCCCACACGTGCAAGTCTTGGAGTCTTTGTTGTGATGTTTTTATCATGTTGCTTATGTGCTGAGGTGTTTTTTTTTCCTAATCCCAAACTGTGCCCCCCCCTAGAGGAGCCTAGTTTGGGAATTGCCTTTTTTCCCCCCTCATTTTCCCTCTTGTTTTCCTTTTCCTATCTAATGATAAGGGACGCTGCTCATGCCGGCTGGCCTGACAGTTTCTCCCTCCTGTCTCCATGTTTCTTTGACAGGATGTAACTGTAAAATACAGTTTCCCTGAGGTACCCTACCAAAGAGATCAATAAAGTTCGATCTATCTGTCTGTCTGTCTGTGCTTCGTTTTTTTTTTTCAGTAGCTTGTAGAGTGATGGAGTGAAAGTTGTTTTCAAAGGCTGATACTAACATTTAGAGAGCAGGATGGCCGATGACCTGTATATAGTCTGAGAACATGTGGTTGTTTATTTTGTTTTTCTGTTGCTTGGGATAAAATACCTCAATTTTCAGTGGTTTTTCCTTGTTGTGTACTTATTTTTCAATGCAATATAAAGTCCTGCACCTCGTTGGAAACGGAACAACCATGAAGAAGGATAGGGAATTTAGAAATGTCTTCTGTGACAGTTAAAAATGACAGAAATCAGAAAAAAAGATGAATTGAAAGTTGAATTTCTTAGATATTTATTTTACAAAAATGTAAAAAGCGTGGAATGAAAATGTCCAACATGACCAACATTACCAGCACTAGAGACACTGTAGCTATTTAACTGTTTTCATTTTACAGCCTCTACAAACTCTCTGAGAAACAGTTTTGTCTAATTTCTGTAGTTTTTTTTGCGTAATTTTTGTTTTGTCCCTTTTCGGTCATTTTGGGTCTTGTTTTTATTGTTTTTTGTCTTGGTTTTTGTTGTTTTGGTAACGCAAACGTTGTTATTGGAGAATTGAAGATATATTTTTT